CGAATGTTTAAGTGAAGCTAAAAAAAAAAAAAAAAAAAAAAAATGGCGAATGTAGGAGTGAACGCATTTTGAGTATGGTGGGTATGCATGTGTCTTTCGGAAAAACATTTATTTCCGATTTTGCGTAACCATATCTGAAAAAGAAAGACTGCGTTTCCGTACCTCAAAATGTAATGTCTCGTCAAGTTTGTATTTATATGTATAAAATGAAACATTCCAATAGCCTGCTTATTTATTATGTCTAACTATGTATACCAAGAAGATTGTACTATGAATTTTTTCTAACATCGTCGCGCGACAACGTGACATTTTACTGCTACAGGCGACTTACGTATTGTATTTATATTTATGTATATCGGCAATCGACCTGCCTTATTATTACGTATTTCTCATAAAGTAGATTCATTATACATCACTGATGTACATGTGCAATGGCTGAGATAAGCTCACTTATTTATGTAAATGGGAAAGGATAGTGCTTCCCTGCTTGAGCTTATGTCAGCCATTGTTCCTATATATTTATATGCTGTTCATTGACAGCATATATTGCTTGTTTAGAAATAAACAGGTGGAAGCCTTATGTCATCGCTAAGTAATTGCATCACACAAACCTGATGTACGAAATAGAAAGGCCAATACACATTTCAAAAGCTGAAATATTTGTTACACTAACATCACAATTCCCTCGCCTTCCATGTTTTGGCATTGTTTTACATCGTTGCTCTATTTGCAGAATCCGAAGAAATAACGGACTTCTACAGAAGCAGAAAAAGCATCTGCTTCAAAATTACACTAATTTTTAAGATATTTTTAAGAAAGTGCGGTGCCAACTTGACACCAAGTGTAGCTTCTCAGTTTTTGAAAAATGTTTCGTTAATAGGCTTTTACAATAGTTCTTGAAAAGTTCTATGTATAGTTCCCCGTCCCGTTCTGAAGATTGCTTTGGGAACCAGTGGTGAGTATCGGAGAACGTCTGCCCACCAAGATACGCGTTCGTGTTCACGTTTAGCTCGGCTACAACGGAATTCGCCTTATCGACAAAGGCGATGACTGAAAATCCTACTTCCAGACTAGCCGCTACGATTCAGCGCTATGATTTTGATATCGTCTAAAATCGTAGCGTTGTGCATCTCCATACTAATCTCTGTCACTTGCATCAGCTAATCACACAATATCGTTAGTTTTCCGGTAGATAATAGAAAGAAATAGCAGCTTCCCGATTGGCTGCGAGAGATAAGCGGTACGTAAAGTTTCGGGGCATAAAGCCAAAAAGGAATAAGAAGAAGACAAAAATTAGTTGCACAAAAATATTAAAAAATCGAAGAATTGAATAAAGCTTTCCAAATACTACTAAATATCATTGGACCTTGATTTAC